TTATGACACAATAGATAATGAGTGGATCAACAAAGTTAGCACTCCAACGTCTAACTCGACTGCGGAGTGAAAAATAGTATGAGAATGATAATGAATTGAATATATAAATTAACGCAATCTAGTCTTTATATAATATAAGTGATTAAAATTATTTGCATATGCTTTGACACTGTGTGCAGATTATCGGTCAATTAAATATAAACAATGAGAAATGCGGCAGAGGACGTAATCACATGTCCTCGTTAAAATGAGGATCCACCTGTTTGATGCGTCTCTCCCTTTAACTCTTGTTATTAAGTCTTCTTCGCAGGCCTTGTGAACGAACATAATGAAATATGTTTCAAACTCTTGTTATTAAGTCTTCTTCGCAGGCCTTGTGAACGAACATAATGAAATATGTTTCAAACTCTTGTTATTAAGTCTTCTTCGCAGGCCTTGTGAACGAACATAATGAAATATGTTTCAAATTTTAAATTTATGGAATCCAAAGAGTCTCATATCTTTCTAAGAATCTTCAAAAATTGAAATTGGAGTTATAAAAGCTGAGTAAGTCGATAATAGTATATGCAAGAAAAGATGTAGTTGCATCATCAACATCTTCAGCAAAACAATTTAAATCTTCAAAAATTGAAATTGGAGTTATAAAAGCTGAGTAAGTCGATAATAGTATATGCAAGAAAAGATGTAGTTGCATCATCAACATCTTCAGCAAAACAATTTAGATATATGTAAATATCTATTGAACTACCACTGTCCATATATTAATTATTTAACTTTTAATATTTTAGTTGACATTTCATACTTATATATGTAGTTTTATTTATTCATGTAAATATCTATTGAACTAGATAACAAAAAACGAATGAATTGATCAATAAAAATCTCACTTCATAATTATTATATCGAACTTTTGAGAAAACATTGGAAGTTTTTAGAGTTTTAATCACCATTTAATTAGTTCGCAATTGGGCTATTTAAATCTTTAGAGATTATTATATTGGCCTAGCTATTAATGCATTAAATGTTGATTTAATATATCAAATTTTCAGCTTTATTTTACTTTTATCTTAAAAATTTGCTAGTTGTTAATATAGTATCAGATGTATGAGATTACTCTGGTAGTATATTCTTTATGTGTATCATCATCACGTATCCGCTTACATTGGTCTATCCGATAATGATCAATTGCCTCTTTTTAATTTCATTTTCTCATGTTTTTTCCTCTCTTTTCGCAAACCAAAACATATTATTATCTTCATTTGTAATAAATATTGCGGGGCGAAAATATTCAAGTGTATCTGATGAAAAAAATAACAAGTGTATTATTTTTGTCTCTTATAATAACAATGAAATTTTCTGAATATCGAACTCAAGAATTGTACAGAAGTACCGAGTTCAATTTGTGGTTCAATTAAATAAAAATTAAATTTTAGGTTTTGTTTGGTTATTGTTACTATAAAATAAACAAAAATATAAATTGGCTTTTTACTAGTATGAGGGACATGTTAGGGTAAAGTGTATAATATATCATGTAACAATTTTGAATCATGATTTCTTCAACAAATTCATAACATTCAATTATCAGCCCTTTAGATTATTTTCCCTTAAGTCCTTAGTAAGAAAACCTTTGAACATTCATCCTAAATCAAAAGTCCTTAGAGATATCTTATGGATTCAAGTCTTTGATTTATCAAGAGTTATCTGATAACTTATAGGGTATCCTTAGTCCTATGTGATATCTACTATAGTCTATTTGTACAAAGATCTTAACAATTGTGGTCCAGCTAATCATTAACGGTAGAACAATCCTTATTTGTCCGATAAAGAAAACATGAAAAACTATGTACAATTAAATTAAATAATAAAAATAATGGAATTGATGAAATCAGAAATTCAACGTTATTACAGAATCAAATAAGGGACACCCCCTAGCATTGGGGTTTTAGCTACTCATACTATTCAAAGAAAACAAAAGATAAATTGTAAACATTACAAGTATTGGGGCGAACTTCGATCTTTAATCCTGTCTATTCATGAAAATATCCTTCCACTGAAATCCTTGTCTTCTCCAATCTTCTTTAATCTTCTTCCTTCATTTTTTAGCCAAAAATTCTTATAAACTAAATAAGAGTTTTCACTACTAACTCAAATTGGATCGGAAACATAAACCAGACTCGTAAAACGATCCAAAACAACTAAATTTCTAAAGTTTGTACTTTAATGAATTTTTCGAGGCTTCTACCATCTGAATCAGCTTTTGACTTCAACATGAAAGTTATAGCTCTTTCTCTGAGCTTTCCAACGAATATTAGATTGCGTCGATCTGATTCCTATAACTTCAGTTATGATTTTTTTTTAGTGAAAACCGATCAATTAGCGCATTGTCTGACACGGCCCGTGTCGGGTGACATGGGTGGCCGTGTCAGGCCTTTTGGAGCGTGCTGGAAACTTTTCCAAAACTCTAAATTTTTCACTTTTTCGCACTGATTTGTCTGATTTATTCCTGTGAAACTGAAAACAGTAAAACACACAGCCAACGCATAAAAAGTAGTAAAATAAAATAAAACACTCGACAATAAAAAGAATAGATAACTGAAATTAATGGTAAATAACTGTGTAAAAACCACTGATCAGTATCGCACACTCGAAATATATTAGAGTCGCAATTAAACTTTATTTATTCTAAGGGAAAGAAAAAATATCGATAAAGCCCACGAAAGAGAAAAAAATGAACGTCGCAACAAATAGCGGGTCATCTGTTGTACTTAACATGATCCTTTAATTAGTTGTACAAAGTAGCGTGATGTTTACTTGCGATCTTCTAATTACTATGGGAGAAAAAAGGAAAGAAAGGATTTTTAGGTTATTATTAGGTTAAATATGTTTTTTATCCCTATAATTTTGTTTTTGGTACTTTTAAAAAAATGGACATGTTTTGATCCCTACAAATTATGCACGTAGTTTTATTCTCCGATGTTAAATCAATGTGTATTTTTGAATGATTAATCTGCAGACATGTTTAAAATGTTATAAAAAGTTTCTCGAAAAAAAATAAAAATTTAATTTTTAAATTGAGATTTTCATTACTTTTATCATTATCTTTTGAAATTTAAAAAATTTATATTTAATAATTTTCGTTTTAAAAAAGTTTAAAATTTGGTATAGATACATTTTATAGTATTCTAAACCTGTATGAAAAATATTATTCAAAAATTTAAAAGTTTAAGGGTAATCAAACAGTTTTTAAAATTTTAGAAAATAATAAGGACTAAAACTGCATGCAATAAATTTTTGCAAGGACCAAAATATGTCATTTTTATAGGGACTAAAATGAAATTTGAGATATTTATAGGAACCAAAAATGTATTTAACTCTTTTTAATATTGTGCTCGCCAAGAATTCAAAATCTTGTGCTTACGTATTCCCCGGTGCAATGGGAAAATCATAGTTTCGTAGTTCATGGTAGAAAACCATGTATTTGTTGATTGCTTTTAAAGAGTCACTACTATTAGAATAATAATACAAGTGTGACTAAGTGGGGAAATAGTCTCATATTGGATAGGAATGCGCAGACTTGAGCATATATAGGTGGAAGAGTCCACTCACCTATCACCTTAAGATTTTAGGTGGATAAATGGTGTGTCTCTCACAAAGGTTCATAATCCTCAACTTTGTATCAATGCTCCTAGTAATTCCCCCAACAAATGGTATCAGAGCTTGGTTCGAGAAAGGAACCAGCTTACTTGTATCGAAATGCCCAATAAGAGGTGTCTCGTTGCAAAGTGTCAATGGTGGCAAGGTTTCAACGGTGGTGCAAGTGTCTTGAAGGGGAGCATTGTGGACTCACACTTGAGAGGGAGTGTTAGAATAATAATACAAGTGTAAGTAAGTGGAGAAATAGTCATACATTAGAGAGGACTGTGGAGACTTAAGCATATATAAGTGAGAGAACTCACTCACCTATAACCTTAAGGTTTTAGGTGGATAAGTGGTGTGTCTCTCACAAAAATGCATAATCTTCAACTTTGTATCAATGCTCCTAGAAACTCCCCCAACAATTACTATGAAAAATACCTTTCATAACAAAATATTACAACAAACTCCATGTTAACCATGATAATAACTCGTTTTTGGGCGTTTTTTAATAACTAAAAGACATTTCACTATGGTCATAGTGAAGAACCATGGTGAAATGTACTTGGAGTGAAAAGGTTGGAATCCCAACACCTTCAATTTTCTATTTATTGTGACAAAATGGGTATATCTCCACATTTATTTAGACAGACATGGTATAAAGTGCAATCATTTCATCACGGTTCATCTTACAAATCGTGGTGAAAGGTTTTACTTATTTATATATTAGTGAGTTTTCTCTCGCTTCAGTACATTACAGCCGTCTCTCTCAACAGAAAACCCTAATATATATTTCACTTGCCTCTCCCAAATCTTAGGAAATGGCTACCTTATAGTTCGTGTGCACAATAGTTTATGTTTCAACGTCTTTTTATCTATTATTGTTTATGTTTCAATAACTAGTTTCATAATGTTTTAATTTTGTACACTATTTTGACTTGTAGGTATAGATGGATAAATGAATAAAATTAACGAGGATGAAGATAAAGTTTGTACACAAGTTTGAAGCTTCAACCTCCTTTCTTTTTTGATGCAACTTCATTTTGGATGCAACCATTTTATGAGTTGATTTGTTCTTGTTAGTAATAAAAAAATTATGTTGCATGTAGTTTTATGTGAAACATTTATGAAACCCTAAAAGGTATGTTTGAGATCCATTTTATGAGTTGATTTTTGTTGTTCAAAATGTTTGCTTTGTTTAGATTATAATATAATGCTAATATATTTTGACTTGTAGGAAAGGCTGCAAAGTTGAAAATAGAAGGAGGACGGAGCTAATGTGAAAGTTGCAATGTTGTGTGACATCCATTCAAATTTAACACAACATTGCAGCTCTCACTTCATCTTCATTCTTATTTCATTTCATCATGAAAGCTGCAAAGTTGCAAAGTTATGTGAAACTACAAGTAGGACGAAGCTAATGTGAAAGCTGCAAAGTTATGTGAAAACTATAAGTTCTGTGTAAGTTATTTCTGAAACATTATTTATGAGTTGATAGGTTATTGTTGTTCTAAATGTTTGACTTGTTGATTTTATTATATTCATAAGTATATTGTTTGTTTCACTACCCCTCATTGAGCATGCGCTCATTTAATTTGATTTAGAAAATAATAATTTGATAATTAAGTTATATTTAAAAACTAACTTAGATCAATCAATGTTTTCGAATTGCATACATCTCATAATTCATCTCTCGCTCTTTAACATATAGAATATGGTTCAATGATCTAAGTCCTTCATAGCATTGATTCGTTCTCATCTAGTTTATGCTTTAAAATATTTGACATATTTTCAAATTGATGCTTTTCAAAATAAACTATAAGAGAAATAATTGATTCTATGAAGGACTTAGATCATTGAATCACATTCTATATATTAAATAGAAAAAGATAAATTATGAGATTCATGCAATTCGAAAAACTGTGTTTTGTGTGAGTTGTTTGTCAAGAATAAGTTAATTTATCAGATTATTATCCTATACATAAATTTGAATGGTTATATTTTTTTAGTGAGGAGTAGGGAAATACAATCAATCTACATATTTTATAATAAACTCATGTATAATACCACAATGATTATGTTTCATAACCGTGGTGAAATGTTCATTTTATTCAATTTAAATTGCAGCTGTTGGGTTTCGATCCCTTGACCTATAAAATATAACAACATTTATTTAATGTAAATGTTATGATATTTAGCACGCAACCTAGTTTACCACAACTGTCATACGCTCGTGATTGAAAGCAACATAAATACATTCACACACTACATAACAACGGACGCACATCCTCATTATATATATATTTCACTACCGTTGTCATATGTGTTTTCCGTAGTAGTGAGTGATACTTAACTCACATTAAGTGTTTAAATCTTGATTGTTGCTTGCGCTTGGAGGTTGAAGTGTTTGTTTGTTTTGCATCGAAATAGATAAAGCATACTCGTTTGCGAAAGGGTTTTCAGAGTCGTGTTAGGGAGAAAAAAGATAGTTTAATTGGTTGAATTTTCTTTTAAGGGATACAAGTATTCAAATGACCAAGCTATACAACTTGTATTCAAACGGTTGAGAAAAAGGTAGGACATACATCCATCTTGTCCGTTTATTCATTTATTGATAAAATGTAAAATGAGTTAAGTCACAACTCCTTAATAGAGAATACGTATCCAAATGGGAAGCTATACAACTTGAATTTGGATACTCGAGGAAAAGGTGGGACATACGTCCATCCCGTCCATTTATTGTTTATTAAGTTGAAGTAAACTCGCTTAATTAATATATTTTAATTGGATCGTGATTATTTGAATGGCCAAGTTATACAACTTGTATCCAAATATCCGAAGAAAATGTAAGACATACACCCATCTCATTAGTCTAATTTGTTTAATTAAGAAAAGATTTTATGCATTTTAATTTTAAATCGAAAAAAAAGGACTTGTTGTTGATCAAGCGTTTAAAATTGCGATCATTTGAATTTACCTTGGAAAATCGGCTTTTTGCTGATCAAGCATTTTGGTTCTTTCTTGAAAGGTTAGTTCTAATCTAATCTTTATTTTTATATTATTAATTAATAATTAATAAAAAAAAAGTAAAATAAAAATAATAATAAAATAAAATCAAGAGCAAAAATAAAAAGAGAGAAAAAACAATACAAATGGGCCAAAACACTAATAAGAACTAAGCCCAAAAGGAAATACCAAGAGAAAGGGGTACTAAAACTAGAGGATTTCTTATTTCACCATAGATAGGTGAAAAACACCCTATAAAAAACCTAAAATGCTCTCATGAAATGTATTTTCGGTGTGCACCTTATACACTAAGCATTCAAAACTATGTGCAGTCTCACAGGATCCAAAAATACATTTCTGGTTTTAACTTGTAAAGGGTGTGCACTTGTAGCGATCAAAAATGTAGCGGGGTAAAGGGAAAAGAGCGAAATAAAACCCTTAGATATGCAATGTAAAGTAATACTTAAAAGTAATGAAAATACAATGCGTTTTTTTGAAAGAGATCTAGAGTTCGGGGGTTGGTTATATAATGGGAAGGTATTAGCACCCAATGCATATGCGGTACTCCGCACGAACCTTTTGAAATGTCTGTTTTTTAGTTAAAATTGTTTGTTTGATTAAAGTGGTTTGTTTGGTTAAAAATGGGTGTGAATGAGATTTTGAAGATACGACGACCTATCGTCGAAGTTTTGACTTAAAAGATGTGAGTTTGAAAATTAAGTATTTTAGGAAAATTAACTTAAAATTAACAAAGATAATAAAACAAATATGAATGAAGGTATTCGCACAAACGTATTACACATATTTGATGACATGAAGTTAACAAAGTCAAAACATTTCCCTTGGAATTTAGACGGACGAAAGATACAAAGATTCAATGATCGAGAATGAATTTAATTAGAGCGACAATTGAATAATAATAAAATTAAATAAGAGATTAACTTATAAGCATGTATTTTAAATGATTAAATAAATAACCAAAATTAAATAAAGATTAAATTATAATAGCATGTATTTTTAACAATTAAATAAGTAACAAAAATTAAGTAAAGACTGAATTATAAAATATGTATTTTTTTTATTTTTTAATGGCAAGAAAAAAATTATATATATAAACTAAGTTAATATTTTATTATCAAGTATATTTAATAAGAATGGAAATAAGAATAAAAGAATCAAGAAAAACAGAGAGAAAAAAAAAGGCCCAGCAAAGAGTTGAACTTGGGTCTCCTTGAATTATTAGTGGTGTGCTTTGCCAACTGAATTAAGCTAATTATCTATTATTAGTATGATTCTATTAAAATATAAAGAAAAAATTGATAGTAGGATTGGGCCAACAAGCCCAATGGACTGACCCAGTTGAAAAGGACAACGAAATGTTTTTGTAACCCTAGAGTACTAAGAGAAGGGCGCCGCGGGTGTTGGTTGTCTTGGGAAGGGAATGGCATATTAATTATTATTATGAGACTATTATCCCTATGTTTTATCGTAAAACAAAATAAAACAAAATCTCACTTCCCCACAAACTTCATCTCTCAACCTCTTGCTCTCTGCTTCATCTCTCAACCTCTCGCTCTCTGCTTCATCTCAACGACACAACGACTCACAACCTTCTCCCTCTGCCTTCGTTAGCTTCGATCGGATGTCATCATCTTATTCATCCATCTTTTCTTTATGTATTTTAAACGAAGCAATCAACAACAGTAAATCCACTAAGCAACCAGATAGCTACGAAAATGTAAAGTCGATCAAAGTTGCTCTGATGGCATCTTATAGCTTTGTAATGACGAAGTCGGACAGAAAACCAGAAATCCTACGAGAAATAACTCTGGTGATTTATTCTTTGATTTCTTCAATCTCTTCCTTTTTATGAAATCTCTTCTATTTTGCTGACGTGGGATGTATATTCAACTCTGATGCTTGTGATATTGTTGAAGGTGTGATAAAGAAATCAATGATTGAAGTTGTAGAAGACAAAGTTGTTGAACCGGCTACAGAAGTTGATGAGAAGCTAATGATGACAGTTGCAGGTGTTGTTGATACATGCCACATAATCTTCCAATCTCTCTTTCCAGTACTTACTGATCTAAGTATTTGATAAGCTGCTCATGTGCTAAACTTTCTAAACGTTGTTTGAGTGCTTTATTCTCCATACTCACGATAAGATTCTGCTGATTAAGAAACTCAAGCTCATCCGATACTTCAGACCCTTCTACCTGTAAAGACTGTACATTTCTTTCCAGCTCGGCTATGTACTGAAGTTTAAGAACCCGTGACCATTGAGCAAATTGTTGTTCAGCACGTTTTATATTTGTTTCAAAAGAAGATGACTTTGCATGCAAACCGTCCTTTCTTTCAAAAGATGATCTAGTGTCTTGTAAGCCAGATTCTACTGAATCATGATTTTCATTTGCAGTTGGTAGGATCCGATCTGCTTCATACAGTGTACATGGTGTTGATGATCTTGGTATCTGAAAAGCTACGTTGTCTTTGCCAGATGGAGCGCCACTCGTATTCGAAAAAGAGTTCCATGATCTATTTTTCTGTCTTGCTGCATTCATTTCTGAAAACATGGGAAAATGATGAGCATCTTTGTTTCGATCAAAATCTTTCAAGAGTTTCTGGTACAGAAAACAAGTGCAGGGCTTCCTCAATGGTGTGAACAGCATCAGGGTGAATGTCATTATGGTTGAACAAATATATAATTTCTTTAATTTTGTAGTTTCTATTATTTCAATTCTGGTTTTTTCTTGTGTTTATTATTATTATAACATGTTTAAATGCTAATAAAATGCAGCAATTCAAAGATACCACAGAATGATGAATCAAACGATCATATGGCATAAAAGTGGTGCAAAGAAGATTCAAATATGTGAATGAGAAAGTTATACATAAGTAAATAGGGAAGAAGAAATACCTATCGGAGTATCTCTGATAGAGCTTCAAAAAAGTAAGTTCTCCCTCTCTCTCTTGTTGATGCTCAAACTTCTGTGGCTCTAGTTCTTGTTGTGATGCTTGAACAAAAAAAAACTCTTTTTTTTGTTTTTCCTCTTGCTGAGTTTTTTTTCTCCTTGAGTTTTTTTTTTGTCTTTCCTTGAATTTTTTGTGTGTCCTCCCTCTCCTGAGTTTTTTGTGTGTCATTTTTCTGTCCATGAGGGTGGCTTTTATAGTGAAATAACAAGGCATTTAGGGGGGAAAACAGTGTGATATTTGAATTGTTTTGACAAACTGTTTTGATGCTTTGTTCATACAATTTTTCTTTAGCCATTTTGACGTAATTTTTGGGCTATTATGATGCAGGGTAGCAGGCTGTAGCAAACTGGTTTGTCTTGATTTATAGAAGTTTGTTTGCAGTTTTTTTTACAGCATTTGGACCATTGTAGGTTATTGTTTTTTGAACTGATTTGCAGCATTTTTATAACAGTTTTGGGACTGTTTTGTAGGCTGTTTTTACAGTAGGTTTTGGGGATGTTTTGCTTGCTGTCTTGGACTGTTATTGCTGCTGTTTTGAACAACAAAATACCATAAAAAATTGGACTTTTATTTGTTGAAACAAGGCTGGAAAATGGGCTGTACGCAGAATGATATTGGGCTGGAATTTTAAGACATTAGGAATAATAGTTTGATTTTATGTACAAACTTGTAATTCCTTGTAAATTTGTAGTGATAAATCCAAATAAAATTGTAACATGAATGGAAACTTGTTCTTCAATATATTTCTCTCAATTCTTTTGTAATTGTAAACATTTGAATCTTTATAAACTTTGAATATTGATATTCATCTTGATGAAATTCAAAATCTTCCACTTGAATTTGGAAAACAATGATTGATATTTGAATGAATTGTTGAATGATGAATAAATAATGATGCAAGCCTTAAGACCTAAATCTTGCATCTTGTATTAGAGATCTAAATAAATTTCATAAATTGATCTTGTAATAAAATTGTAACCATCATGTATTTATTCTTGTGATGAATGGTTATTCTTAAATCAAGTTTTCTTTTTCCAATATCTTCTTGAATAAATGCCTCATGTGAATTCAAATGGCCATGGTGTGAACCCATCAAAGTAATCACACAAAAATAATCTTGAATAAATTCAATGTGAGGAATGATTATTCTTGAATGAGCCCCTCTTTGATAACTTCTATTTAATTAACACTTGAATTCATATGATGAAAATTCCAAGTATTCTAAATAAATTCTTCCAAAGCAATCTTGAATTTAATCATCCCACTCTAACGATATTCACCCCACGTCGTCATGTAAGTATAAGAAATCGAACCATGCTTAAAGGCTTTGAAAAATCACTAGAAAAGGGATTTGAGGTGAAATGTTATCGCGTTGAGAAATTGACACAGTGAACTGAACTTAGAGATCCAAAAACTCTTAAATCATGACAAGCGTCCCATAAAGTTCTCTCATGGATTTCTAAACACAATTCGCCTTCAACTTTTAAAGGAAACTTGCAAATGATTCTTGGTCGAAGTCTTTGGGATTTACTCGCATAGCCTATTCTTTTCTTGTATTTCAAGGCAAGGCGAAACACACGTGAACCAGTGATCTTGGAATCTCGACTGTGTTTATGAAGAATTTCGGAGACGCTTAAGGCCACCTGCTGAATAGAGCATGGAAATAAACACACGATTCCCTTGATGAATCAGTCTTCGAGAATCAACAATCAATCGTACTTCTGGCTTTGGACTCAAAACCCTAATTGAGGCGTGACGTCTGATGCTCTTGATTTAGACCTATTTCTACACATGAAATCAAAGAAACAAAAACACACACTTCCTACTTGATTAGAAGTTAGTCATGCACAAGAGAAAATACTCACAACACTCAATAATCTCTGCACATGCAATGCTCGAAGGTGAAACGTTCGAAACCTACCATATTTTGTGACCTTGATGTATATAAGAAAAAATGCAAACGAAGATGGGATCTTAGGTAAAAAATTGGGGTATGACAGCACCTGAAATACATTTTTGGTTTTTAGGGGTATTTTCAGAATTTCACGCGGTGCCTAAGAAACAATTAGGGTGCATTAATAAATTCTCCTAAAACTATTCATGAGGGTGTGAAAGGTAATAAGCGTAGCCCAAAGATCTACCAAGCCCAGATCAGGAGACAAACTTGTTGAATCAAAGGAAAGTGCATGATTTGAAGACTTTGAAGTCAAGGGAAACCAGAAGGTGATAAGAGAATGCACCTGCAGCTACGGTGGTGATGAGCTCACTTGATCACTGGTTGACTAGCTAAGGTTTAATAATCAGATGACCAAGATCAAGGCCACTTGGCCCGAATCAATGGACGAAAGAGGGAGTATATAAACGTACATTTCCCGAATATGACCACATGCAATACTATTATGCAATCACATGAACCACCAACCACCACCAACAACCACCTTCTACCACCTTAACAATCTCCATCTCAATCTAGTTTCAGATTCATCTTCATTGATATTATCACAATGAGGATGAATCTTCATCCCTAACCTCGGCCTAAACCCTAACAATCCCCAGAAACATCGACAAATCCTTAAAACCTTAAACAATCAAAATAAACCCTCTTCCAAAATTTCTCCTGATCCTAAATCTCAAACCAAAAACAACAAAAAAACCTAATCATCTAACTGGATCGAGACACTTGAGCTTCTGAAACCCTAACCTTAAAATACCTAAAATCATCCAAAACCTGACCTAAACCCCTCAATTAAACAGCGATTCAATAACCAAACCAACAAAAACAATCATCAACGCCATGTGAAATTCTAGTATGGCAGAACTCAGATGTCTTATGACATGTTGGGATATCTGATCCGATATAAACAAACAGGTAGGGTAAAATCATACATAAACAGTAGTGAAAAGCAATAAACAACACACTAAATTGTTAACCTAGTTTGGAACAACCTTTCTACTCTAGGGGCTACCAAACCAGGGATATGTCCACTCAAATAGTCTTAATTCATAGACCCTACAACAAACCTCCAGTTTACGGCCTAATCACTTAATCACTACCATTTCTAAACTTATATCTAAGACTCACCTAGATATGCGACCCTCCTCAATCCCTCTTCAATTACAGACAGCAATTGGACACAAACAGTAACACACACTCCCATGACAACAAAATGGAAGACACACTTCCATGAAAATCACTAGCCAAGATACTTGACTAAGACCCAACTTGGAGTTGTTTACAAGCTTCCTCCAATAAAAATACTCACTCTTGCTTCACAACTTCGAGGATAACAAAGTGACCATCTCACAACCCAAGTGGTTCACTTACACCAACTCTCCTAGAGAGTGGCTATAGACTCGGCCCTAATGATTACATCTTTTCAAAACACGACTGATACAAAACTAGGTTACAAAAGCTTCTATTTATAACCTATACCCAACTGGGTTTGGGCCTTCAAAATACAAGATATCAGCTGTAACAAACAGAAGAAAAATCTGCTATAAAAAAGGTCTTCAATCAAATCTTCCTAAATTATCTCCATATTTAGAAGGTCAATATTCTTCAATATTCTTCTTGACCTACAAATCAGCACCACATAGGATAATATATATACTTTATTATCCTTAACATATATTTTGTTTGTGTGACTTAACAGAATATAATAGTCTAGTTCAACTTCAGGCGCGATGTCGAATGAACCTGCATAGGACATCTTATCTGACGTGTTGCTCCAGATGTTGAAATATTTTAACTCAACATGTCTCAACATAAAATAGGACTTCTTGCTTTGCATGTTCATCACAACAAGATAACACATCATATTTAATATATTGCTGGTTGGATAGTTTTACCAAAATCCATGCTAATCATACAACCAGAGAAATAACATCTCCCCCTTTAGAAATTTTTTGGCTAAAACAACTAAATAATCTGTGCATAAGAAAACACCATAATCATGTTTGAAAATTCCTCAAACACACACATTAGAGGCACAACAACAAAACAAACATAAGAGCAGAGTTATGAGCAACAATACAACCAGAGAAGTTAGTGGTTATTCAATCTATTAAACACAGCTGCAACAAATAGAGAAGCTAGATTCTCAACACCATGATGTCAAGACATCATGTCTGACACCTCTTCAGAGTATTTCAGTCCAAAACAGTAGGGACTCCCCCGCAACACCTGCTATCACACATGAGAATCAGAGATTCTCCCCCTCAATAGTATCCAATGATCAGTGGTTCAGCAATTAGTGGTCAGTGCTCTCACACGCACATACATGCTTCTCCCCCTTTTTTGCCATTATATGACAAAGGAAGCAACTAACCAAAACAAACCATAGTAGCACAAACAGGCTTCTTCATCAATAAATTCTAGGATAACTCCTAAACTTAACCATAAACACAGAAGCATAAACACAATGTCTCCCACTAGACTCCAAATGCACTCCTTTCAGCCTTCAAGAGTGACACAACACAAGATACCAGAACATCACAAGTGG